CCTTTTTACTCTCTTGGTGAAGTCTTTTGATGAACACAAGTTTTTAATTTTTAGTATGTCCCACTCGTCTATTTTGTCTATTTTTGTTTGTGTATTTTTCAAAATGTGTGGCAGTCTGAATATTCCCTGAATTAGCGCTCTCACGTTCGTCCCTATTTTTTCATTGATGATCTTCATAATTTTAGGATTCACATTTAGATCTTTAATCCATGTTGAGTTCATTTTTGTATAGGGTGTGAGGCAAAGGTCTTGTCTCAGTCTTTTACATATCACTTTCCAGTTCTGCCGGCACCATTTGTTAAAGAGACTGTCTCTTCCCCATGCAATGTGCCTAGGCACTTTGTCAAAAATCACTTGGCTGTAAGTGGTTGGGTTAATATCTGGATTCTCGATTCTGTTCCTATATAATGTTTTGGGAGAGTGGTTGTTGGTTCTGACTCATAGCAACCCTGTATAGGATTTTCAAGAAGCAGTTGGTGAGTTTGAATTGTCAACCTTGCTGTCAACTGTCTAGTGTGCACCATACTAATTCCCAATTCCAAGGTTATAAAGAGAATTCTATTTCTTCTGAAAATTGTAAAATCTTGCTTTTCACATTTAGATATTTAATCTACCTGGAAATGATCTTTTTCCATCTATGGCGTGAAGTAGGGATTTAATTTTATAATTTTCACTTATGGATAATCAGTAGTCCCAGCACTATTTAGTAGATAATCTGTTCTTTGCCCACTGATCTGAAATATCACATATACTGGATATCAACTTTCCATATATGTGATGGGTGGATCTGTTTTGGGTTCTATGTTCTATCCCATTCTCTATCTCTATACCATACTGTTGTAGTAACTATAGCTTTAAAACCAGTCTTAATAATGTATGTTGTTAAGAGCTGTCGAGTTGATTCTGACCCATAGTGACCTTGTATAGGGTTTCCAAGGAGCAGCTGGTGAGCTTGAACCACTGACATTGCAGTTCAAATGACTTTGCAATCTGATGCATTAGCCCACAGCACCACACCAGGACTCTGTGTCCACTATAAATTCTAAGCAGATGATTAATGCAATTCTTATGGATGAAATTGTGTCCCCCTCCATATCTGTAGATGTAATCTTGTTTGGAAGTTGGGTTTTCTTTGTTATGCTAATTAAAGCACATTGAAGTAGTTGTTATTGTTGGTAAGTGCTGTCTACTGGATTCTGACTCATAGCGACCCTATATAGGGTTTCCAGGAGTCCTGGTGGGGCGCTGTAGGTATTGAACTGGACCACAAGGCCAGTTTGAACCAAAAGGTCGGTGGTTCTGTTACAGTAGTTTTAGATTGGAGAGTGTAATAGCAGTTCTTGAGCTGTCGTTGAAGAAACCAAGGCCGCCCAGAGAGGTGAAGCAGAGTTTCAGATTTTATTAAGCTGGCTGGCTCAGAGGAGCTAGCTTCTCCAGATTCTGAGCACTGGATACAGGGCAGTGCAGACTTATATAAGGTCAGAATCAGGGCAGGGTTAGGTTGTGGACCTGTTTGAAGACAGGAGGGAAACCAGAGGAGTGGTTCCATCCAGTAACCTGATTAATATTCTAGCTTGACTCCTGGGCTGAGAGGATTGGTCCCACTCAGTAACCTGACTAACATTCTAGTTTGTCTCCTAGGCGGAGAGGGCAGTGAATGTTTTTACCTTTTCCTGTTCAGTTCAAACTCACCAGCTGCTCCTGGGAAACGCTATACAGGGTTGTTATGAGTCAGAACCGACTTGATAGCATTTAACAACAACAACATAGCGTTTCTGAGGAGCAGCTGGTGAGTTTGAATTACCAGCCTTGTAGTTCAAACTGACCTTGCAGTCCAGTGCCAATCCTACAGGGCCATACCAGGATTCCTATTAGAGTAGAGTAAGTTCTAAATATCATCATTTCTGAGTTATAAAAAGTGCAGATTATTCACAGAGAAGGAGGGCTTGGGTGATGTAAATGGTTGAACTACTAACTAAAATTCTGGCAATTCAACTCCCCCTGGAAGCACCTTGGAAGAAAGCCTTGACAATGTGCTTCTGAAAGCTCACAGCTTTGACAACTCTATAGGTGCATGTCTAGCCCAGAACTGTGAGAAAATAAATTTCTGTTCTTTAAAGCCGCCCATTTGTGATATGTGTTACAGCAGCACTAGCTAACTAAGACACCATTAAAGCATTACTCTGGGAAGAATATTCTTAGACTGTGAATAGAGTGAAATAGTTAAAGGAGAGATTAAAGTCAAAATGACTTGTTTGGGGGAAATGCAGTAACCCAGATAAGATATCACAAAGGCTTACAAGAAAACATCAGTGGTATGAAAGGAGAAGAAACAAAAAATGTAAAAGTAACTGCAATATTAACAAGGCTTAGTGACTGTACTTAGAGAAATTAGGAGAAAGGAAGACAACACGTGGCATTGCAGTTTCCAGCCTGTGTGGCTGTGTGAAATTACGATGAATTTGTTTGGTTATACAGTGCTGTGTTAACAATAGGATATATTAAGTAAGAGCCAGGGATATAGATTTGAACGTTGCCTGCTTAGAGTTGCATTGGAGATGGTGCAAAGGAGGAATGAAGCTCGAGGTTTGGGGGATTTTCCTATTTAGGGGGTGGAAGAAAGAAGAGGATGGGAAAAGCATTTGAGAAGTAGGTTAGCCAGCACAGTGTATGATAACATTCCTAAGGATTTCTGGTAGCATAGTGGTTACGAATCGGGCTGTTAACCTTAAGGTCGGCAGTTCGAAACTACCAGCTGTTTTGCGGGAGAAAGATGAGGCTTTCTGCTCCTGTAAAGATTTACAGCCTTGGAAACACTGTGCAGGGTCACTATGAGTCGGAACCGACTCCACGGCACATGACAACAACAAGAAGGATTTTTTTGACAGGGTGATGTGGGTCCTATTGGTCCAACACCAAAAGGTGTTGCGTTCTCACATAGGTATGACTGGGTTTTGTTTCTGTGAGTCATCTTCAAAGTTCCCAGCACCATTCTGATGTCCCTGGTAGCATTTACAAGGCATTCATTCCTGCTGTGGCGCTGTAAGACAAGCACTGGACTGCTAACCACAAGATCGGTGGTTCTAACCCACCAGCTGATCCTTGGAAACCCTATACAGGGTCGCCATGAGTCGGAACCAACTGGACTGCAAGTAACCAACAGTAACATTCCTAGCGGGACCTGGTAGAGAAGCCCCCAGTCGGTGGGGTCGCTCGCTGCAGTTCTGTAGTCTGGCCGCAGGGGGCGGAATCTGCGGCGGCCTGGAAAAACGGTGGGGGCGCCAGGCGCCGCTCTCTCTCCAGTCAGGTTTTCGGCTCTTGGCTCCCGGCTCCAGGCGCCCGTTGCCGAGTCGTTCCTTAAACGACGCGCAGCAGCGGAGGCGGGTCGGGGAGAGGACGCGGGAGGCAGCGTCGTCCGATCCGCCCGCAGTCCGCAGCCCCGCTGGGCCCCGAGGCCGCCCGGATGGAGCCGCTGCTCCCCGTCGGAGCCCAGCCCCTTGCTGTATCCGCCCGAAAGGAGGGGGAGGGGAGGACGCGTCGAGCCAAGGGTGGGGGTCAGGGGACTGCGGAATCCGGGGGACCCAGGTGGGGGGCAGACAGGCCCGGAGGCCGAGCCAAGAGTGTGGGGGTGGCGTAGCAGGCAACACCGGGTGTGTGCGTGTGTTGTGGTGGGGGGGGGTTGGGGAGGGTGGCACGGTGCGGAGGGAGCCTCCCACCCCTCAGACTGCGCTTGGAGAGGAGACCCTTAACCTGTGTCCACATACTGTCGAGGGTATGGAGATGAAGGGGCCCCTGAGGGAGCCCTGCACCCTAACCCTAGCCCAGAGGAACGGGCAATATGAGTAAGTAACCCCTTGATCCCGCAGATGGGGGAACCTACCATTAGCCCTAATCCCAAACGGTGACCACCCGACCACCCTTCTCGCACCAAGGCTAAGTGGGCAACAGGTTCCGGTTTGGGGCCAGGTGTGAGAAGCGAGTATTCGTGCCCTGTGACGGGCTTGTGCCAGGCGGTGTGGCTCAGTGGAGGAGGACTTCATGAGCAGGGGAGCAGGAAGCTGGGGTTCTTTCCCTTACATTCCTGCCTCTGCAACTGACAGTGTGTTGTGCAACCGTAGGCAAGTCAGCAAAGCTTGCTTAGTTCCTACATCTGTTAAATAAAAATATGAACTGCTTTACCTTAAAGCCTTTGGAGTTATGTTGTTGTTGTCGTTACGTGCTGTCGAGTCGGTTCTGACTTTCAGCGACTCTATACAGGGTTTCCAAGGAGCAGCTGGTGGATTTCAACTGCCGATTTTATGGTTTGCAATCCAGTGCGGATCTACAGCGCGACACCAGGAGTCCTTTTGGAGTTATAACTGGGGCACTAATAAATGGAAAACAAACAACGGACATGCCATAGAAAGTTTCATGGCAAAAGTTCCAGACTTTCCTTTTCTTAACCTCTTTCAAACTGGTTCCTCCAGTCTCCCCAACATTCATTCCACAAAATTCAAAGATTACTTGCTGTAAGGCATGCATAGTCGCTAATTCAGTAATGGGTTAGTTGAGGCCTCAAAAATTGACTGGGAAAGAAAGAAAAGGTAATGAAGTCTGTGCAAGTAGAAATGACATTTGACATGTCATCAATGTGGGTCACCGTCCACTTTGCACATAGAAGCTCAGAACTATTGTTGACCGATTGATCATAAAACTGGTAGCATAGTGGTTAGGGATCGGGCTGTTAACCTCA